GAAAGAGGATCTGTTTCCCTTTATCAGCATAAACCCTTACACAGCATGGGCATTTATACATTGAAAAAAGGATAGGATTCCCCAAAACTCAGTTTAATGAACTCTTCACTAAATGTGGGTTTCACAACTGGGCCCTTTCTACTAAATTGTGCATTGTGTTGATTCGAGTTTTCTGCTCTTATGTCATTCTGCTAATTGAACTTTACCAGTGTTTACACACATTCTGCACTAGGTTATTTTGGTTTTGGCTCTGCAGTGACTACACTCATCACATTGTGTCTGTGGAATTAAAAATCCACATCCACAGCCTAATGGAACAAACAGGGTGACACATTTAGAAATGTGATTAATAGATCATCACTTTATAAATTTCAATAACAGTTCTAAGATGGTAATTAACCTATCAAATCCAGGTAGGGTAGGGGTTATCCCGGTCCCCACTGAAGGGATCTGACACCATCAAGAACAGATCCCACTGCGCCCACCACACTCTTGGATTCCCAAACTTCACAGACAAAATGGCTGCCTCGTGGTCTGTATTGGGCATGTCAATACACAACAGGCAGATATACCACTGCTGGGTGCTGGCTGAAGTACACATCCCTGGACTATCTTAGCACACCAGCAACCAGTGGAGTTAATGGCTGCCCAAGCTTTGGTACTGTCATGGAGTAACACTTCCGGGTTCGGCACTCAGCTGTGAGGAGCCGGACCCCGCCCCCCTCTGACACAGCTCTGACGGTATTTAGGGAGACTGGGCCAGAGAGACGGTGCTTGGTGATTGTATGTGAGCTGCCTCCACAGGCTCAGCTACTGGGAGCTACTTCCACCAGACATACATCTCCATAAGCTCAGAGAAGCCGTTCCAGCCTTTGAGCCAATGCAAGGATTGCTGCATGCCATAAAGGATTACTGGAGCTGGAACGGATACTTTGCTACTTTACAAGTGGACCATATCTCTGAACTATTGGAGGACTACACATATTAACCTTAAGTATATCTTTCAACTATTGTCTGCAATATCATTTATTAATGAACTAATGCTTGCTTACTCAAATCTTCATTGCTTCAAACTACTAATTACATGGAGGACAACTCCCATCATGTTTATTCACTATGAACTGTTTCTTGCTTTGCAAAGACACTCACTGCTTCAAGCTACTAATTATATGGAGGACAACTCCCATCATGCTTATTTACTATGAACTGTTCTTGCTCTGCAAATATTCTCAGCTACTTGCTTATTGTTTCTATTGAAGATTATTCTCATGAACTTAAAGAATGTTACTTAATGCATCTCTGAGGAAATAATTAATAATGAACTTTGTGTTGTTAATTACTTGCACCACTTCTTATTGGATTATTGCCTAAATGCAATTCATTTAAGTTTAACACTTATTAAAACTTCTGTTGAAGTGATTCTCTCTTTTCTTAAAGCTACAGTATTGATACTTTAAAGATTCTCTGTTTCTTCACTATTGTAATTAGGGAGTTTACAAGCTGCAGTTGAGTTCCAATCCAAATCACCCCAAGTAGCGTAACAGGTACCTGGCGATCGGGTCCAGTCCCCATGGCCGCCTTCTTTGGCATAGAGCCCTGTGAAGATGTTCCTCACACCAGAGCCCAACGCCTGGACCGATCGCCCCACCCAGGATTTCCGTTGCAGGCCGCTAACGGAGGCAGAACCGTGGTCACAGGAAGAGGGCTCAAACAGGACCTAGGGCTGGCAGAATGGCACTCACTGGATTATCCAACTTGCTGGAATCCTGCTGTTGCTTCCCGTAAATAAGTCAGCAGCGAGAGTGAGCTGAAGCTTGCATACTGGAGGGGCTTGTAAGCGTGCACTTGACAGCAATTTCAAAGCGCTGTACCCAGAGGACTGCGGGGCTTAGCTGCTGAGACTCCAGTGGTTCTATTAATTGTATTCGTTTATTTTTACATGCTTATTATATGCTCAGTTTAATTTTATGCACCTACATAGGCACTAGTCCTGTTTGATTCATAAAGCCATATTCTATTGATCTGGATACATAGATAGCAACTACTGCCCAATGGAGCTGAAGTGGAACTACTCTCTAGTCACCTATGCCTAGCATACTGTTATAAGCAAAATGGCAGTTTACTCCGCCTGACCTTTCTTGTGTTCGTTTTAAACTACATACTGGATTTATTTGTCTGCTTCATTATATAGCATTACCACTTCACTCTTCGTTACCAATCTCATGTCTATATGTTTCCAGTTGAAATACATCTTTTTTCCAGTAAAGTATTTAGACATATTACTTAGCCCAGTGGTTCCCAAACTTTTTTAGGTTCAAGGCGCCCTTAATATTTCAATATTTTTCCAAGGCGCCCCAAGTAAAAAATAAAAAAATTGTTTGTATATATGTACAGCACTGCTGCATATACTGTGCCCCTGTTCGGCAGAAATGCTTGCAGTTCAGGGGCAGATCCAGAACCTAATCTTGTGAGGGACACTGGTAGATTATTGAAAGAAACAATCAAGGCATAATAACCACTACAGCACTCTCGTGGTTATGGTGCCAGGAGTGCCGTGGTGCCCTCCCAGGGTAAGTAGTCAAACTGTTTAAAAACAGTTTGACAACTTACCTGGGATATGCCAGAATAGGGGCTGTAGTAGGTGATAGGGGCAGCAGTGTGTGTGTGTGTGTGTGTGGTGCAGTTTGTGCATGAGTGGTACAATGTGTGTGTGTGTGTGTGTGTGTGTGTGTGTGTATGGGGGGCAGTGTGTGTGTATGGGAGGCGGTGTGTGTGTGTGTGTGTGCATGCAGGGAGTTATTGTGGGGGTAGGAGGGGAGATTAATAAATATTTTTTTTTTTTTATTTATTTTTTTTTTTTTAAAAACAAACAATTTAAAATATCAGGCAAAGGCAAAAAGGGAGGGGGGACAGTACTAATTTCTGGTGGTCCTGTGGAGAAGCCCTTGTGGTCCATGTGGTGGGAGTGAGCTCTAGCAGCTCCTGAAGCTAGAGTTCATTCTTGCAATATTTGGAGCATTGCAGTGGTAACCACGGCAACACTCCGAGGTCGCGAGAGGAGAATCTGGTGAGCTCCAGGTTCGAGATCTCCCAGGTCCTCTCTCTTTCCCCTGCTGGCAGCCTGCATTAAACTGCTAGCAGGCCGGAGAGGGAGATCTCCAGTCTCCCCTCCGGTCCTACAGAGCTGGCAGGGGAGAGTAAGGCTCAGTTCACGATGCTATGATTATAGCACTGGGAAACCCCATGGCACACAGTTTGGGAACTGCTGACAGCCTGTTTAGTCTAAAAAAAAAAAAAAAAATAAAAAAAAAATGTGCAACTTGTTTGTACACCATGGCAATGTATCTACTTGATAATGCTGTTGTGGTGTTACAAGTCTGTATGTTCTATTTTGCACAGTTAAAATAAAGAATAATAATAAAAAAAAATTACTATAAAAATAGTATAATTCTCATCAGAAGCTAGAATGCACTTCAGAAATTATAAGGTAAATACCCAAGTACTTCTCTTGGGGCATAAGCTGTTGTCCACCAATTCTCCTTTGTATGTATATATCTTAAAAGCACACTTCACTTTCTGAAGTGATTTATGCATGAAGGCTACCTCCCCTTTTTTCATTTTGCAAAAAGTGCACATTTCAATAGAAATTGGCACTTTTATAAATTGACCTTTTTACACCACACACGCTGTCAATCACAAAGCATGTTCTGTTACTTCCTGATTGTTTAGCTCAGGGACGTTAAACTCAAGAGGCAGCAATTGCCCAGAGTATCTGCCTTGCAAAGACTTCTCATTGAGCTGCATTGAGAAGCCTGTGATTGGACAGCCACAAAACGTCTGTACTTGAAAAGGGCTTCCAAAGGCTGCAGACAACAAACCTGATTCACTTAACAAATTATAATTGCTTGACCCATGGACAGATAGAACAAAAGGTCTTTTGAAAATCATATTTACTCATTATGTTATTTGAGATTAATGACATTTATATTATAAGTATTTACCAGGAATATGTTGAAATTAGAAACCCAAAGCTGTAGATACCAGGAATAGAAGTTACAATTTAAGTTGATAATTATTAATATTATAAAATATATATTTTTTTTTTGACAATTTTTATTTTGTCATAAAAAATGCAGTTTGGGGTACAGAAAGGAAAAGGGAGTGAGTTAAGACAATGGAACATACATTCTTAATCAATTTTTCTTTTTTTTGTTATCCGGTAGCTCTTAGTCATAATGGGAACACATTGTTATTTACACAGAATTTACGATATAAGTAGCAACTTTCTATGTTTTGTGTGGCTCATGGTGGGATGGAGTTTCCCTTAGTCTGGCCTTGCAAGGCTAGGATATGTAGTTGGGGGGTGCAGTTTGGGAAAGGAGGGGGGGGGTGGGGGGAGGTTCATCACCTGCCAGTTCTTCGCAGGGGAGTCAAAGGGTTCTTACTATGAGCGTTATTCCCTCGGCTTGCGATATGGTGAGTGCTTTTCCTTCAGTGGGTGGTCCCTATAGAGGTTGGCTGGTGTTTATGCCTTCTTTTATAATTGGTGATATGAGTGTTAATGGCTGCGGTGTGTATGTCACTCTCAAGTCGGGTGTTTCAGCTCCCAACTTTCCCATACTTCATGTCTCCAACCTTTGTTGGGTGGTATACGGGATACACTTGATTCATATTTCCCAATTTGGGATAGGTGTCTGATCAGTTGTTGCATTGGTGGGTGATAGCCAATTTTTTGCGATAAAGTTTTGGGCCGCTACCAGTACGTGGAGTATTAGGTATTTAATCGGTTTGGGGTAGTCGGCTTCCAGCATGAGTAGGAGCAGAGAAGTCGGGGAGTTCGGTATCATGATTTGAGGTGTGTTGGTGTATTAATAAGATAACCTCTTTCCAGTATGGCTGAGTTTCATACATTTCCACCAAGTGCGTAAGAATGTGCCTGTCTCTTTTTTGCAGCGCCAGCAAATGCTGGACATTTTCGGGTCCATGGTGGCTAGGTGTGTTGGGACCATGTACCAGCGGTAGAAAAGTTTACGGGTGATCTCTAAGTGTGAAGCGCAAAACGTCAGGCCTCTTGTTGCATTTACTGCGGTCAGCCAGGTCTGCTCTGACAGTGTTTGATCTAGGTCTTTTTCCCAGGAGCGTACACAAGTAAGGGATTTAATTCCTTGTTGGGGCAGTAATAGCCTGTATATGGTGGAGATGGGTTTTTTCGCTGGTGTATCTGCCATTATACTTTTTTCAAAGGGCGTTAGAACAGTAGTAGTGGGCGATATAGGATGTGGTACATGGGTTTTCCACCATGAATTCAGCTGGAGGTAAGAGTGGTATGTCGTGTTTGGCAATATGTAATTAATTTTCAGTTGGTCAAATGTGGCTAGTTTGCCTTTTTCTAATAGGGAGTGTATATAGAACACCCCGCATCTGTTCCATGCTCTGTAGTTAAAATCAGGTATCATTTGCGCCAGGGTCTTAATGGGGTTGAGAAGGGGATCGGGTAGCAGCTGCACAGGAGTTTGCGGGTGGCATCCCAGATTTTTAGTGTTGTTAAGGTGGTGGGAAGTGCATTTGTGGTGTTTCCCCTTTGATGGGGTAGCATCCATACTGTTGTTTTGATGTCTTGGGTTTGCAACCAGTGTTGTTCTATAGAGACCCACTGGGGGGGAGACGTATGTTGGTTAATAGGAAAGAGACTGGCCAAGACTGCTGCTTTGTAGTATAGTTGCACGTTATGGAGGCTCATGCCGCCCATCTGCACTGGTTGGTGCAGTGTGGATAAAGCGACTCAGTCATTTTCCATGCCATATGAATAAATTAATTTTTTTCTGGAGAGATAGAACGTAGGCAGGCGGCACTGTCAAGGTGAGTGTCCTAAATAGATATTGTAATTTAGGTAGAATCACCATCTTTAATGCTGCTATTCGACCAGACCAAGATATAAATTTGTTCCTCCAGTGCAGGAGGTTGTTGGTAATGTCTTTGCTAAGTTTAACATAGTTTAAGTGGTACAAGTCAGACATAGTGTGTGGGAGTTTTATCCCCAAGAACGTGAGGTAGTCCGTTCTCCAGTCAAAAGAGAACTGGCTTCGCAGGTTGGATAGATAGTCATCCTCCATCCCCACCCCTATGGCCTGTGTTTTAGATAGATTTAGCTTATAGTACGAGCAATTGCTGTATTGCTGTAGTATGTTGTGGAATGCTGGTAAGGATTTGTGTGGGTCAGTTATGGTTAGGAGGACATCATTAGCGAAAAGGTTTAATTAATATTCCACCCCCCCAGCTTTGATTCCCGTGATCTCTGTTGATGAGCGAATGGCCTCAGCTAAGGGTTCTAAAGCCATAATGTACAAGAGGGGTGAGAGGGAGCACCCCTGTCGAGTGCCATTAGTAATAGGGAAGGACCTTGATTGGAATCCGGATGTGAAGACCCGGGCCTCGGGGTTACTGTATAGTGATTTGATCATGGAGATAAAATGTGAAGGGAAGCCAAATTTAACTAGGACCGCCTGCAGGAATGACCAATGCAGGCGGTCGAAAGCTTTTTCAGCATCTAAGGATAGTAAGAGGCTGTTGGGGAGGTGTATAGTAATGCAAGGGCTTTTTCGTGTACCGTCCGCTCCCTGCCTGCCACCCACAAAGCTGACTTGGTCAGAGTGCACAATAGTCGGCAGGATTGTAGTCAGTCTGTTGGCGTAGACTTTAGCCAGGATCTTCACGTCTGAATTTAGTAGGGAGATCGGTCTAAAATTTGGGTAGAGTGGCCACGTTGGCCGTGAGCATGTCCTGCGGTATGTTTATATATTTTTTTTTTTTGTGCCGTGGTGAAAGTGAAAAGTGATGCTAGTCGGGGGGTGAGGATAGAGGAGAACCTCTTGTAGTATAGGTTTGGTAGTCCATCTGCGCCTGGGGTTTTGTTTAGTGGCAGGTTTTGTATAACCGTGAGTACTTCCGTTTGTGAAATGGGCCCTGCCAGAGACTCCTGTTGCGAAACCGAGAGTGCAGGTAGATGAACTTTGTCCAGGAAATTGGTTATTTCCTCTTCAGTGGGCTGGTGTGCCATAGGGTCGTCTTTTAAATTATAGAGTTTGCTGTAAAAGTCAGAGAAAAGTTCACTGATCTGTTGGGGTTTAATTATCTTTTTCCCGTCTTGTGAGTTAAGGTGTGCTATTTTGGTTTGTGCCTGCGTGTCCCTGAGTTGGTTGGCCAGGATTGAGCTGGCTTTGTTACCCATACAGTACTCCCTGGCTTTCAGTTTTTGGAGTGTGCGGGTCGTGTTGGCTATGTTTATAACGTTGAGTTCTGATTGGGTTTGGGTAATAATAATTGCAGCGTCGTTTGGGTTGAGTAGATGGGAGGCTGTTGCGTCTCTCAGTTCCCTCAGTAAGTTCAGGTATTTCGTCTGGGAGGTCTTTTTTAGGAAGGAGGACCATTGTATAAACAACCAGCGCATTACGGCCTTATGGGCTCTCCATATCGATGTCGGGGACGTCCCTGACGTTTTGTTGTCGGAGAAATAGTGCTTGAGTTCTGTTTCTATTTCTGAGCTAAATTTGTCGTCCTGTAAAATGGAGCTATTAAGTCTCCATGGGTTACAACCTCAAAGGGGAATTTGTCTCTGAACGTAGCAAGCACTGGGGGCGTGGTCTGACCAGATGATGTCGCCCATGTGGCATGTTTGAAGCAGATTAAGAGAAGGTCCTGTTATGAGTATTACATCTATCCTGGAGTACGTCTTGTGGGGTTTAGAATAATATGAATAGTCTCTGTCTAAGGGGTGGAGTGTTCTCCAGCAGTCATAGAGGTTGAATTTCATCAACAGTTGTGTTAAGGCTTTGCAAGTTGGTTTGAGGGATTTCTGTCGGTTGGTGGTGGGGGGCATGGAGGTATCTAGGGTTGGGTCAAGGACGTGATTTATATCCCCGCAAATTATCATATTGCCTCGCTGTGCAGCTGCCACCTTTGTGAGGACACTGGTCAGAGTTCTTCTGGTTCTCATTGGGCGCGTATAGATTTACAATAGTATATTGTACGTTATTCATCAGACCGATAACAATCAGGTACCTGCCTTGGTCATCCGAGATGGTGCGTAGTGGTTCAAAGGCTACTGAGCTATGTATGTAAATGGAAACTCCTCTGGATTTAGATATATGTGCTGAGTGGAACTGATGAGGGAAGTGTCTTATTCCGAATTGAGGGATTTTGGCTTTGGGGAAATGGGTTTCTTGAAGGCACAATATGTCTACCCTTGATTTAAGAGCCTCTTGAAGTAACATGTGTCTCTTATGTGGCATGTTTAGCCCCCGGCCATTATGTGAGTAGACTATCAGTGTATGTTATAGGGCGGACTGCTTTCATTAAAAGTGAGATCCTGAGATGCAACGTTCGGTTTATACCATTGATTATGAAGAGAGGGCATGTGTGTGCCTTTTTTGAGATGTTCTTTGTCTGGGTTTTTGGATGGAATGAGGGGGGTGGGATTGTAACAGGGGGAAGGAAACAGGGATGAAAAGAAACTTGGATAACAAAAGTATATACATAGAAGCCCGATCTCGGTGCAAGGCGCTGTGGCGTAGCACCGTGGGGAGCGTGGGATCGGAGATGGTGGACAGGTGGTTGCCTGAGCAGGCTAAAGGTATGTGGTGCAACATGCACTGTTAAATAACAACAATAAACATAGTAAGGTCTTGTGTGATTCGCAGTGCAAATGAAGAGCACCATTGTTTAAATGTAGTGAGATGACCATATGGGATTTCAGTTGGGGAAAGGGGTGAGAGTTGGTAACTTGTATAGGTTTTGCATTGGGGTCTCCCAACACTACTTGCGTGTCCACAAACTGGTTCTGTAATGGAAGTTTCTGCCATATTATGCTCGATAACTCTGGCTTGTGCCATGGGGCCTCAACCCCATTTTCCACTTGGGTTCTGCAGTAGTGGGAGCAAAGGTTTAGGTGGTGTGTAATTCCCGCTATAAGACAACATAAATCCAGAAAGTGTAAGTGGCCAAAGCTTGGATTAGCAGTACCTCTACAATTGTCTTACTTGTGGACTAGCCAGGTGTACCAGTTTAGGTGGAACTTGAGATGTGGCTTTGTGAATATGCCTGACAGGTGGCTTGGGTGGGCCGCGGTCACCTATGTAAGTCGATCAGTGTGGGTAGTGTATGGTGCCGCTTATGCGTCAGTGGTCGTGGGCACAAGTTAGTCAATTTGTGGTGTCAGTCTAATAAAGTGTGGCAAGGTACTGCGTATGCCTCTAGTAAACAGTATGGGTCAACAACAGTTAAACAATTAGGCAGATTATGTCACATTACTGCTAGTACACCTTGCAAACATTATGGACAAATATAAATGCAATGTGATAGTTAATAATTATTTGCGTACTGCAAACTGTGGTAATGCTAAGTCCGCAGGCATCTTTCAGGCTAATGCAATTTGGCCTTAAAGATAGTAGTGGCCGGGAGTCAATAATTAAGTGTTAGGGCAGTAGGGGTATTTTGCCCCCGGAGCGGGAATACTTGCGGTGGATCATCAGTCGGCAACGTGCCAGTCCTTGACCACTTTTCTCGGTGGTTTCAGGGCTTGTGTTTCGCCCACGATGGTCAGGTTCCACTGGTGTAGGAGGTTCAGACCATCTTCCACCGTGTGTATGACGTTGGTGGTTCCATTTCTGGAAACAATCAGGCGGACAGGGAAGCCCCAGTGGTATAGGATGCGGTTGGCGCGGAAAGTCTCTGTCACTTGCTGGAAGGTTTTCCGTTGTCTCAGGGTGGCTGCTGAGAGATCTGAGTAAATTTTGATGCCGGTGTATTCAGCTGGAAGGTCTTTCGCGGTTCTGCTTCTTCTCATCAGGAGATTTTTTACATGGAAGTAGTGTGCTTTCAATAACACATCTCTGGGTAAGGATGCAGCTATGTGTTGGGGTTTCGGGATCCTGTGCAGTCGGTCTAGCAGCAGCATGTCCGTGGGGATCTCGGGTGTCAGGAGTTTGAAAAAGCTGTGTACGTGGTTGGGGAGGTCCGCCGGGAGAACTGTCTCTGGTATGCCCCTCAGCCTGATGTTGCTCCTTCTGGATCGATCTTCAAGGTCCATGAGCTTTGCCTCACATTTTTGAAGTTGATCGGTGAGGGATTTTAGTTGCTCTGCGGACGCATTGTGTGCATCGACCAGGTCTTCCATCTTGGCCTCCACATGTGTTGTGCGAGATCCGACATCTTGTAGGTCACGTTTCAGTTCTGCGACACTGAATTGCCAGATAGATAACAGTCGTTGGGATTGTTCGTCCAGGGCTCGTTTTAAAAGGGCTGTGGTGAGCGGTTCACCATTGTGCGGTGAGTCTGTCTCTGACCTTGGGCTGCTTCCCCCTGAGTGTTCGGAGCCATCTTCAGGGTCCACTGTGGCGGTCTGTCTCGCCAGGGCCGCAACTTTTTTTTTTTTTTTTTTGGGTGAAGAAGTTCATTTTGTCGGGCTTGTCTTGGTGCCGACGGGTTTTGGGTTGCGACATCTCGGGAATATATTCTTATTTCCCGCAGGAATCTCACAATTGAATGATATTGCCTAGCTCGTGGTGCAGAGCTAAGGACTCATGCGGCCATCTTTCTCCGTGTCTAGCCACACCCCTCAAAAATTAAATATCTTTTTTAAGGACTACCCTAAGTGCCAAAACCCTCTTAAAGTGATTAGAGAGCAAGCTTAAGATTGTCTAGGGCCCTGGGCAGGATGCCAGACCCCCTTCTATAGAGCCCTGTGTTCTGTGCAGGGACGTATTAACCGCGAGGCAAACAAGGCATTTTCCTTGGGCGGCATTTTTCAGGGGGCGGCAAAAAACGCCGCCCCCAAATGCCCAGGCAAATGCCTAGTTAGCCTTGCGGCTAACTGACATCCCGAGTGGGCGGGCGGCTGGCGAGGGAGCACCTCCTCTGAGCTGACTGCTCAGCTCCCTCGCGTGCCGCAGAGTGAGGCTGGGAGCCGGGATATGACGTCATCTTCCGGCTCCCAGCCTCACTCTGCAGCCGGCGTGCGAGGGATCTGAGCAGTCAGCTCAGAGGAGGTGCTGCCTCGCCAGCTGCCCGCACAGCAGCCAGAGCCGCCCAGCCCGACCGGCAGCCACTGGACCACCAGGGAGAGAGAGACCTCCCCCTCCCCCTCCCCCTCCCCCCAGCACTCCCAAAGGTAAGGAGGTTGGGGGGGATTTAAATTTAAAAAAAAGTTAATGTGTGTTTGTTTCTGACTGTGTGTGTGTATGTGTCTGACTGTGTGTGTGTGTGTGTGTGTATTTAGAAGGTGGGGCGGGGGGAAGGGGTTGGGAGGGGGTGGTGCTTGGGGGTGCCTGAGTTTTGTCCTGCCTAGGGCAGCACAAAACCAGGATACACCACTGGTTCTGTGAATAGGTGTGGCTGAGTGTTGTGTGTGTGTGTGTGTGTGAGACTAAAAGTTGTATGTGGGGCACAGGCTGAGTGTCTGTGTGTGTGGTAGCTAAAATATTTTTTTTAAAGGGGAGTCTGACTGAGTGTTGTATGTATACTAACTGAGTGTGTGTGTGTAATGGGAATGTGGAGATAGTGTGTATGTTTGCTGTAAGCTCCCCCTTTGTCATGAATGTCTACTTCAACCATAGGAAAAATACATAAGACAAAGTATACAACTAGATTGCAAATTAAGAAAAGAAGAACAGATTCAAGAAGAGAAGATGAAATAATATAAGAAAGGCAAGTCTGTGGTGACAGAGCCAATTTAGGCACTCAAAGCCAAAACCTGAAAAAATCCTTTACCTTAATAGGAGGTTTAAATCCTCTTACTCCCATATACCCCAATACTAAACTTAATCCAACTCTAAACCTAAACTGAATAATCTAAAACGCTCCTTATACCAGTGATGGCGAACCTTTTTGAGCCTGAGTGCCCAAACCGCAATACATGCCAACTTTTTTTTCCCCTCAAAGTGCCAACACGGCAATTAAACCTGAATACTGAGGTTTACGTTTAGAAAAAACAACTCGTACAGTTATCCGAACTAATTAGCAACTTTTATTTAAAAAAAAAAAGAACACAACAGAGAGTTCAATGATATAAATAGATAAAATTAAGCTTATATTGTATTTATTAGTATCGCCAACAAATGCAATACATACACACATACACACAGTCTGCTGAATACACATACAGACAGACTGAGCACACACACACACACACACACACACACACACAGACTGCTGAATACATACACAGTTTGCTGCATACACACACTCCGCTGAATATACACACAGCCGAATAAATACACACACGCACACACAGTTTGCTGAATACACATGCATACGACTGCTGCATACACACACACACACACACAGACTGCTTAATACACACACACACACACAGAGACTGCTGAATACCCAGACAGATCGCTGAATACACACACACGCAGTCTGCTGAATACATACACGCAGTCTGCTGAATACACACATTGCTGAGTACACTTAGACTGCTGAATACATATACACACACTGCTGAGTATATACACACACACACACACAGACTGCTGAATACACACACACACAGACTGCTGAATACATACACACACACACCCACACACAGACTGTGTACACACACTGCTGAGTACACACGGACTGCTAAATGCGCACACACACACACACAGACTGCTGAATACACACATTGAGGGGTGCTGTGTGTGTGGGGGGGGTAGGGGTACTGTGTGTGGTGGTAGGGGTGCTGTGTGGAGGTGCTGTGTGTGTGTGTGTGTGGGGGGTAGGGGTGGTAAAGATACCTTTTTTTTTATTTTTTATTATTAAATGTATCTCAAAGTTGTATCCCTCCACCCCCCCCCTTCTTCCCTCTTACCTTTGGTAAAGGAGGGGGGGGACACAGCCACCCCTGGTGGTCCGGTGGTGGTAAGTACTGTATGGAGTAGCTCTCCTGTCCTCGGGCACAATGCCGTGTGGAGCGTTGCCATGGTAACGCGCAGCAACGCTCCACACAGATTGCTCGCGGAGGACAGGGGAACTGCTTCACAGATCCCTCCCCCTGCCTCCTGACATGGAAGCAGAGTAGGCGCCTGCCATTTCGGGCAGGCAGGTGCCTACTCTGCATTGATGCAGGCAGCCAGCGGCTCCCTCCCCTGGCGACCTGTGGCGCGCATGCCATAGGTTCGCCATCACTGCCTTATACCATATATCTATAACTCCTCTTAAAGGAATACAAACATGTATTCCTAACACTATAGTGCTGGAGTAGCAGTTTAGGTCCCCTTCACACCTCAGACTGCAGTAAAAATGTATTTAAGCTTACTTTTTCTCCCTCACCGGTCTCTCCACAGCCATACCTGCCACGGCTGTTCCCGCCTCCTCGGCTGAGACCATAAAGGATTGGGAGGCCAATGCTCATGCTCTGCAAAATGCAGCACTGCATCAGTCACAGGGCCGGCGCAAGGATTTTTGCCGCTCTAGGCAAACAACAATTTGCCGCTCTCTCTATGTTCTGCCCACCATGTGACATCACAGTGCCCCACCTATATGATCTGCCATATGGTCCAATGCCAGTTCTGCACACAGTGTCTTTTATCTGAAAAGGCAGTGTGTTTACATTAAAAAGCCTGCAGGGACAGGCTATAGACACCAGAACCACTACATTAAGCTGTAATGGTTCTGGTGACTATAGTGACCCTTTAATGTGAGGTAAATTAGAGATTAGTGCCACTAATAATATACTGGATTAACACAAAAAGAATTCAGCGCTAGTAATCACAAAATTAGTCAAGGTAGGCAGCAACCCAAATGAAGGAAAACCCCTCGGGTCCTTCGGTGGATAGATACAAAAAGATATGGAAGGGCTGCGCCAAATAAGGGTAGATAGTCCAGTAAAGTATTGCTAGGGTGCCAATAGATGGTCTAGGATACTTGATAGAGTTCCTCTGTGGATGTGTCTAGTGTAGACCGTTCCATATATGTAAATACAAGAGAGGTAGAGGCGACTAATGGTATAGTATGAAAGTTCAGGGTGTGATAGGTAACAAAAAGTAAAGAACTCACATTCAAGAGAGCTATGGCCAGCCATCATCATCCTCTTGTCCTCATCTCTTGTTAAGTAAGCAATCCAGTATATTCAAGAGAGCTATGGCCAGCTCTGGTGTGGATTGCGTACAGCGGTATAATCCCCGCTTATGGGATATGTAGGGAGGGGGTCTCCGTCAACACCGTCTGGTAGTCCAGAACTCGGAAAAGAAAGACAGAAAGCAACAATAGTGCTCTCAATTTTGATGTGGTTCAATGTGCAGATAAGAAGAGATAAAAAAACTCTCATTTGAGGGAGCTATGGCCAGCTCTGATGTGGATAGCGTACAGCGGTATAATCCCCGCTTATAGGATATGTAGCGGCGATATGTCCGTCAGCACAGTCTGGTGATCCAAGGCTCCAATATAGGAGAATAAAAAGCAGCAATAGTGGTCTCAATTGTGATAGGTTAAGAGAGTAGTAGAGAAAATAAAATAATACTCACAAAGATAGAGCAGAGGTACTGCTCTATGGATAGGCGCCGGTGGTATGATCCCCACCTAGGATTTCTTGGAGTACTGGAACTTTAAAATTGCCAGTGGAAGTAAAAGTAACCAGGAAAGGTTAAAATGCCAGGAATAGGTAAAGAAAGTTGCATAAAGAGTGCAATAAAAAGAGGATTGGTACAATAAAGTAGCCAAAAAACTTTTATTGATCTAAAATACACAGTAAAATACAGAATTAATAACCATAAACGCCTTTCACTATAAGTGGCTTCTTCAGAATGGGATAAAAGTAGTAACCTGGCAGGGGTTGTTTAAATAGGGCTATGTTAATTTGAAAATTGCGCCAAAAGTGTAATTGGCCAATCAGAGAAAATTTTTAAAATCACTTTTCAAAATTAGGATTCAAGAGTATGGGAGTGATGTTATAAAGGTGATGAGTCCATTTAAATT